GTAAGCAAACTGAGCAAGCTCGAGTTTCTGAGTTCAAACCCTAGTACTGTCAAAGTGGGGAATAAATAAAAGACTAACAGCAGTGGGTTGCTGAAGCACAGGTGAAAACACAATGGCCCCCTTTAATTGTATACAATCAGCCAGTGGCTGTGGGTGAGGACTGAAGGTGTAGTTCAGTCTAGAACTTGGACTTAGCATGCTGCAGGCCCCTGAGTTCCATCACCAGCACCCCAACAACTTAATACCATGGGTGCTGGGTGCCAGATGCCAATGGTTTATGCCTGTAATCCCAGCTACTCAGAAGGCTGAGATCTGAGAACTTGGTTCAAAGCCAGCCAGGACAGGAAAATCTGGAGATTGTTATCTAAGGAGACACACACACACACACACACACACACACACACACATCAAACAACAAAAACAAAAAGCCAGAAACAAAGCTGTGGCTCAGTGGCAGAGTGCTAGTCTTGAGCAAAAAAGCTGAGAGACAGTGCCCAGGCCCTGAGTTTAAGCCTCAGGACTGGTACAAAAAAAATAAAATAAAATAAAACAGCAAAAATAAGTTGGAGGCTGCTTAGCTTTAGGAGGACATTGGGAATGTCTTTAGTCAAAGAGAGATTATTTTTCAGAGTGCACACAGCCTCCACAGAGTTTTATCTACTTGTCTGTATTCATCTGAATGGGAGCTTTTGTTTTAGTTCCAGAAGAAGGGAGGTGGTTTGGGGCCATAGTAAAGAGATGATAAAGCCAGGTCTGGTAGCTCATGTCAGTAATCCTAGCTATTCAGGAGGCTGAGATCTGTGAATCAAAGCCAACCTGGGAAAGTCTATGAGACTCTGATCTCCAATTAAACACCAAAAAGAAGCTAGAAGTGGAACTATGGCTGAAGTGGTAGAGTGCTAGCCTTGAGCAAGAAAGGTCAGGGTCAGCATCTAGGCCTTTAGTTCAAGCCCTAGAACTGGCAAGAGAGAGACGGCTGGGGGATAATTGTGGGAACAGATGGCAGTGATAACCCTCATCTTGTCCATGTTTATTTTTATTGTATTTTGTCCTGTACTGGGGCTTGAACTTGGGGCCTTGAACTTTTGCTTGGCTTTTTCTGCTGGCAACAAGATAAGAGTCTATTGGATCTGTCTGTCTGGGCTGGCTTCGAATCTAATTTTATAGAACTCAGTCTCCCAAGTAGCTAGGATTACAGGTATAAGCTGGCCCATGGATTTTGAAGAGTCTAATGGAAAGATGAGTGAAAGGCTTAAGTTAGCAATTACCTTGTGAATCAGATGGAGGAGGTTGCATTCCAGATGATCTTGGTTATTTGACCTTGTGGATGATACTCAAGTTTCTTGGCCTCAGGTTTTCCATTGGAGAGTGAAGGTAACAATACTACCTAACTTAGTCCATTATGAAGAAAATAAGTATGTTTAACATGTAAACTCAGTCAAGTTCAGTTGGTAGAATAGAATTATACTCCTCTACACTTTCCCTTACAGTCACACAAAATTCACACATGACTGCAGCAGTTGGGGAACAAGTCAGAGACAAGTAAGCTGGTATGCTTGTACATGCTTATGATCCAAGCATATGGGAGGGAGAAAGATCCAGAATTGGAGGTCAGCCTGACACTGTCTCAAAAAAAATATATCACAGGGGAGGGGAGGAAGCAGAGAACATAGAACTCAATCCTGAAAGTTCTTCCAGGGAACCTATTGTACTTAAAATAAACTCTCAATGCTCTGATCAGCAAGACTTCTACATTATCTGGCCTTGGCACAAATGTCCAGCTTCTTTTAGCCCTAGCTAATTGGTCTGGGGTTACAGATTGAGCCAAGCTCTCTTGGTTTTCAGGACATCTGTATTTGCTGATCTCTGTACATGAGATTCCCTCTCAAATGGTTGGTTGATTGATTGATATATTGTGCAGGTACTGGGTTTTCAACCAGGCACTATCCCTTAGATCTTTCCTTTCAAAGTTGGCACTCTAGACTTGAGCTCTACTTCCAGCTTTTCTGTGGTTAACTGGAGATAAGAGATTCATCCAGCCAGGCATTGGTGGCTCACACCTGTAATCTTAGCTAGTCAGAAGGCTGATGAGGATTGCAGTTTGAAGCCAGCCCAGGCAGTAAAGTCCATGAGACTCTTATTTCCAATTAGCTACCAGAAAACTGTAAGTGGAGCTCTGGCTCAAATGGTAGAGCCCTAACCTTGAGTAAAAGATCTCAGGGGCAGTGCCCAGACCCCCAGTTCAAGCCCTACAAATGACCAAAAAAAGTTTCAAGGACTTTCCTGCTAGGTCTGGCTTTGAATCATGATCCTCAGATCTCAGCCTCCTGAGCCACTAAGGATTACAGGTATGAGCCACTGATGCCTGGCTCCCTTCCAGATCTTTACAAACCTGGCTCCTTTTCATACATTGAACATCATTTAACACGATTGTGGCCCTCAGAGATGCCTTTCCTGTCCACCCATTTAAGTGTGGCCTGTTTGTTCAATATACATCTGCAGATTAGTGTAACTTATCACATCACCAACAATGGGGCTTACATCCTGATAAATCTGTCATAAACTAAAAACACCCAAAGGTATTCGTGCATTCAATACAGTGTGCCAAATACCCCAAATGTATATACCCTAGTTTCACCCACCTTAAATATGCTTGGAACACTTACATCAGCATATAATTGGGAAAAATTATTGAACACAAAGCCAGGTGCTGGTGGCTCACACCTGTATCCTTTCTACTCAGAAGACTGAGATCTGAGGATTGTGTTCAAAGCCAACATGGTCAGGAAAGTCTGTGAGACTCTAATCTCCAGTAAACTACTCAGAAAAATCTGGAAGTGGCAGTGTGGTTCAAGTGGTGGCATGCTCTCAGTTCAAGGCCCAGGACCAGTAATAATAGTAATAATAATAATAGAGCACAAAACCCATTTTATAAAAAAGACTCCAGTAACTCATGTAATTTACTAAAGACATCAAAATGTAAAATCCAACCCAGGCATAAGTGGCTCATGCCTGTAATTCTTGCTACTCAGTAGGCTGAGAGCTGAAGCTCACAATTCAAAGCTAGCCTGGGTAGGAAAGTATATGAGACCCTTATCTCCAATTAACCAGCAAAAAAGCCATAAGTGGAGTTGTGGCTCAAGTGGTAGAGCACTAGGGTTGAGATAAAAAGTTCAGGGCCAGTGCCCAGGCCTTGAGTTCAAGCCCCAGGACCAGCATCAAAATAAATAAATAAATAAAAATAAAAAATAAATCCCAAATCAAATGTGTGATGTACACTCAAGTGTAGATATATATCAATTTCATGTAGTTGTAAATTAAAAAAAAAAATCCTGCTGGCGCTGATGGCTCATGCCTATAATCCTAGCTACTCAGGAGGCTGAGATCTGGGGACTTCGGTTTAAAGCCAGCCCAGGCAGAAAAGTCTGTGAAACTCTTATCTCCAATAAACCACTCAGAAAACCAGAAGTGGCACTGTGGCTCAAGAGGTAAAGCTCTAGCCTTGAGCTGAAGAGCTCAAGGATAGTGCCCAGGCCCACAGTTCAAGCCCCACTACAGACCAAAAAAAAAGAAGCTGGGCAATGGTGGTTCACACTTGTAATCCCTACTGGGGAAGCTAAGATCAGGAGGTTTGAGGCAGCTCAGTCAAAAAGTTCAGGAGAAACTATCTTACCAAAAAAAGCTGGGTGTAGTGGCGTGTGTGTGTGTGTGTGTGTGTGTGTGTGTGTGTGTGTGTGTGTGTGTATTTGTGTCTGTCATCCCTGCAACATCAGAAATCATACATAGGAAGATCATAGTCTTGGCTGGCCTGAGTATAAATCAAGACTCTATAGCAAAAGTAATCAAAGCAAGTGATGTTTAGAGGTGTGGCTCAAGAGTCACTTGTACTTGTGTGGGGCCCTAAGTTCAAACCCCAGTAACTGCAAGAAAAAATGAGAGAAGAGCCCTAAATCAAACTATCATAAATTGAGACCATCCGTATTGCCATTTGTAAAATTTTGAATTTCTTGTTAATCTGATTATTGATTGTCCTGCTCCAAGGTAGTAGGGACAGAACAGGGCTCTTGTGTCTGGTTAGTATATGGCTGTAACTCCATCATCTAGAACTAGGTTCTTTGCATATTGGCATATTGTAGGAATTCAAAATACATAGGTGAATGAATGAATGACTGCTGGAAGATGCAAGGTAGAGGGAAGTAAGAAGTACATTAAAAGTCACAACTGGGTGCCAGTGGCTCACTCCTTTAATCCTAGCTACTCAGGAAGCTGACATCTGAGGCTCACGGTTCAAAGCCAGCCTGTGCAGGAAAGTCTGGGAGGCTCTTACCTCCAGTTAATCACAGAAAAAGCCAGAAGTGGTCCTGTGGCTCAAGTGGTAGAGCACTAACTTTAAGCAAAAGGAACTCAGGCCCAGAGTTCAAGCCCCAAGACCCGCAAAAAAAAAAAAAAAAAGAGGAACAAAAAGTATATGAGCTGGGATTGTAATTTAATGGAGAACATGTACTTAGCAGGCGAAGCCTTGAGCTCAGTCTGTAGTACCATTAAAGATAATAAAAATCCAAATCCGGACGCCGAGGGCTCACACCTATAATCCTAGCTATTTAGGAGGCTGAGAGTTGAGAATTGAGGTTCAAAGTCAGCTCGGGCAGGAAAGTCGGTGAGACTCATTTCCAGTTAACCACCAAAAAAGCCAGACGTGGAGCTGCGGTTCAATAGTAGAGCGCTAGTCTTGAGCACACCCCCAGGAGCGGCACAAGAAAAAAAGAAAGAAAAGGCACCCAAAAAGACCCAATGAATATTCTAAAGTCAGAAATCCCCGACTAGGGAAAGTTCAGAATTGAGTTTCACCGGGGGTCCGGCCGGGCGCGGGGGGCGTGTCCAAGAAGGGGGCGTGTCCAAGGCGTGTGGAAGGCGGGGCTGGGGCGGAGATAGTCGGAAGCGGGGGCGGAGGCTCAGGAAGTGACGCCCCCAGCCCCTCCCCCGCGCTCCGCGAAGGGGACTTTTGTGGGGAGAGCCAGGTCCGCGGCGCAGATCCGGCGGCGGCGGCGGCAACATGGAGAACGGAGCGGTGTACAGCCCCACCACCGAGGAGAACCCGGGCTCCGCCAGGGGCGCCCGCGGCTTCGCTGCCTACTTCTCGCTGACCCGGCTCCCGTGGTATCGACGCGTTCTCAAGGTCTTGCAGCTGGTGAGTGAGCTCCGAGGGACGGGCCGGAGCCCGGGCGAGCTCGAGCCCTCGGGGGCCGGGGCCGGGGCCGGGGCCGGGGCCGGGGCCGGGCCCCGCGGGCTTGGGAAGCGCTCCGCGCGGCCGCTCAGCCGGGGTGCTCGGAAAGCAGCCGTCTCCACACCCCAGTTGCTTCCCCCTCCGCCTGGGCAGAGGGGCGGTGCCCTCCGCCGGCCGCCTGTCCGCGCCCCGTCGCGCCTCGCGTTTCGTCCCTGGGGTCCCCCGCGGGCGACCTCGGGCCGCCGAGCGTGTTTGGGAGGGCGCCGGAAATGGGCCGGGGAGACCCTGCAGGCCCCTTGGACGCCTTTCGCGGCGCCTCCGCCGCGCGACCTGGCCGCCTCCGCCGGCGGACACTTGTATCACCCCTGTGCCGGCCTGCGGGCTGCGGAGGGCTTCCTGTTGAACCTTCCCGGCGTTTGCGGGTTTCCTGGAGCTGCCTCGCGGCGAGGCCAGTGCCGCTGCTTCTTGATGGATGCTAGTCTTTTACGTGTGGGCTCGAGGTGCGAAGTGCCCGGGCAGTCCAGGTCGCCACACCTAGGAGAGGGACTTCAAGCTCATTTTCGGCAGTGATAAAGTACCATAAACTTAGGAGTGAAAAAAATTTTAGAGTATCTTGGAGATTGAATTTAGCATTCAATCGACAATTCGTCTTCAGCCCCTGTGTACTGTTTGAATCCCTGAGGAGTATTTTCTGCAAGAGGAACAAAATCAGAATACTTAGGATGTTTATGGGTTTGATGTCCCTTCCTCCCTCCTTTCTTCCTTCCTTGCTTCTTTCCTTCCTTCCTCTTTCCCTTTGCTTCCTTCCTGTCTTCTTTTTTTTTTCTTTTCCTTCCTCCCCTCCACCCCCCTTTCTTTTTTTCCTTTTTTGCCAGTCCTGGGGCTTGAACTCAGGTCCTGGGCGCTGTCCCTGAGCTGCTTTTGCTCAAGGCTAGCACTCTACCACTTGAACCACAACACCAGTTCCAGCTTTTTCTGTTTGTGTGGTACTTAGGAATGGAACCCTGGGTTTTGTGCATGCTAGGCAGGCACTCTACAACTAAGCCACATTCCCAGTCGTTCCCCCCTTGCTTTCTCTTTCTCTTTCCCTCTTTCTTTTTCTTTCTGTAAGCCATTCCAGTTAAAAATTTGCTTACTGGTTTCCTTCGGGAGAATTTAAAATTCTCACAACTGAGATGACTAGAGATTAAATTCTTAGAATTCAGATGACCTACTTTTATTGGCTAAGAAAGATAGCAGTCAGAAAGTTGTCTCTGCTTTTAGCCACCAAAATGATTGTATCTGGGGACAATAGGGAAATCACTTGGAGACCAGGGATAAAGTGCTCTGTGGAACCCAAGAGTTATTTTGTCCTGTGTGCCTCTCCAGCCTCCCTCCAGTTAGGTCCACCTTGGTTTCCTTTAGGCTCTTAGCAGCCATCAGACTCTTTGTCCTTCCACTGTCTCTTTGCATAACCTGTACCTAGACCAAAAGGGCTTTCTTCATTCTTCCCCTTGCCAGTTCTCACCTGACTTTTTAAATATCAACTGTGTGTGTCTGCAGTAGAGTATAAATGTTTCTACATGAATAGGGAAAAGAAGTGCCGTGGGTCTGAAGCATTCTTGCTGATCAAAAGAAATCAGTGTTGGTCTGCTATTCGTAAGTCTATTTTTAGATTGCTTTTGTATTTCTTCTTTAATCAGAAGTAGTAAGTCTAAAGTAAATTTCTGTTACTCTATGTGGCTTAGTAAATTCCATATCTTCAGAGCAGAACACAACTTGAAATTTCATTGTAGAGTTTTTTTTTTATGCAGAGGTCAGTCATTTTGCCTTGAAAAATTTGTAAGAGGGTTTCTGTTTGTCTCCACTATTCCCTAGGACATGGGAAAAGAATAAAAGCTAATGTGTCTTGGTGAAATTGATTTGTTTGTAGTTAACTTATAATGCTAAAAGGATGCTTTCTTTACTATGGAGTTTTAAAATGATTTTTCAATTTTGCTTTTTCATTTTTTTGGGGGGGTGAGGGGTCTGGTCGTGGGGCCTGAACTCTGGGCCTGGGCGCTATCCATCAGCTCTTCAGCTCAAGGCTAGCCCTCTACCACTTGAGCCACAGCGCCACTTCCAGCTTTTTTCTTTTTGCTTATGTGGTGCTGAGGAATTGAACCCAGGGCCTCATGCATGCAAGGCAAGCGCTCTACCACTGAGCCACCTTCCCAGCCCTTGCTTTTTCATTTTGATGGTTATCTTTTTGTTCCTGCCTCATTTGCTTTCATGTTATCTCTTCATAATAACAATATATTAAAGTTACCCAGAAAGTCCAAGGAAGTGATAGATGAACTCCTTCTAAATTGTCATCCAGCCTAAGGCAGTAGGAAAGCTCTTCTTTGTTCTCACTTATTCTTTGCATTCTTTTTTTGTCGGTTGTGGGGCTTGAACTCTGGGCCTGGGCACTGTCTCTGAGCTCTTCAGCTCAAAGCAAGCGCTCTACCACTTGAACCACAACGCCACCTCCAGTTTTCTGGTAGTTTTTATTGGAGATAAGAGTCTCATATGAGGATTTCCTGCCCTGGCTGACTCAGCCTTCTGAGTAGCTAGGATTACAGGTGTGAGCCACCAGTGCCCTAGCTTTTTTTTTTTTTTCCCCTCCAGTCGTAGGGCTTGAACTCTGGGCCTGACTGCTGTCTCTGAGCTCTTCAACTCAAGGCTAGTGCTCTACCACTTTTGAGTTATTGCACCACTAGTGGTGTTTTGGTGGTTAATTGGAGATAAGAGTTTCATGGACTTTCTTGCCTGTGCTGGCTTTGAACTGTGATTCCCAGATCTCAGCCTCCTGAGTAGCTAGGATTACAGGCGTGTCTGGCTTGTTTTGGTTTTTTGCTGGTCCTGGGGCTTGAACTCAGGGCCTGGGCTCAGTCCCTGAGCTTCTTTTGCTCAAAGCTAGAACTCTACCACTTGAGCCATACCACATTTCAGGCTTTTTCTGTTTATGTGGTACTGAGGAATTGAACCCAAGGCTTCCTGCATGTTAGACAAGCACTCTATCATTAAGCCACGCTCCCAGCTCCATTCTCTGCGTTTAGATTGTCTTACTTTAGATGACTTATTTTTAAAAACTAAAAAGAATTGCAGATACCCAGTAAGGAACTGTATGGAGAAAACCATAATCAGAAAAGGAAGCTCAGTATTTTAGCAAGGAATCTACAACCCTATGAAATTGTCATACTTTACCAGGTACTGGTGGCCCATGTCTGTAACCCTAGCCACTTAGGATGAGATCTGAAGACCATGGTTCAAAGCCAGCTGGGGCAGGAAAGTCTGTGAAACATTTATCTCCAGTTAACTACCAGTGGAGCCAAAAGTGGAGCTGTAGCTCAAGTGGTAGAGTGCTAAAAAAGCTAAGGACCAGCACCAAAAGAATAAATAACTAGTGTACTTTTATGTGTTTGATTCTCAAATATCCCAAATGAGAAATGAAGTCTGCACTACAGTTTAAAAATCAGATAATGTGTGTTTGGAAAATTCTTAACATTAAAATCCTAGGAGATTGAATTAGATTACCTCTGAGATTCTGTGTGCGTGTGTGTGCGCGTGCGTGCGTGCGTGCGTGCGTGCGTGCGTGCGTGCGTGCGTGTGTGCGCGCGCGCCAGTCCTTGAGGCTTGAACCCAGGGACTGGGAACTGTCTGAGATTTTTTGCTTAAAGCTAACACTCTACCATTTGAACATACCTCCTCTTCTGGCTTTTGGTGCTTAATTGGAAATAAGAATCATGATTTTCCTGCCCTGCTTGGCTTTGCACTGAGATCCTCAGATCTCAGCTTTCTGAGTAGCTAGAATTACAGGCGTGAGCCACTGGCACCAGCTTTTTTGTTTCACTCTTCAAAGATTTATTTTTCCAACTCTCTGGGGGCATAGTGGGGCTTACTGATACAAAGCTCATACCTGAGGGGTACAGTGTGGAGCTTATGTATACACAGGAGATAAGAGTAGAACTTTTCTACTTGAATTTTGTCAGACTTACCCAAAATATAAGCATTCTCTAACTTGTAGCATATCCTTCCACAGCTGAAGAAGACTCTAACCGTTGACCAAACAATGTACGAAGTTACTGGATTCCTAAGTTTTATGCATTTTTAAAGTATTCTGTATACAGCTTTGTCCTGATGCTTGTTTATTTAGTGCCTCTCTTAGGGCCTGGTCTGTCCCTAGTCTGTTTTGCTCACAGCTAGCGCTCTCCTACTTGAGCCAGAGCTCCTTCTGGCTTTTTATTTTCAACTAAACCAGGTAGACACATTTATTGCATCTTATAATCTATTGTTCTGACACAATTGCAATCCATCATTATATTTTGTGAGTTTTAAAAATTTACCTTGATGAAATTATTTCTGTACTAAAGAGAACTGACATTTGGCAACCTCACAGCATTCTTACAATAAGGCAGGTTCTGCCTGGCCATCCTAAGGGAATCAGAGCACAAAGTTAAATGTGGATGTTTACTAGTTTTCATCTCCAGTATGAAATTCTGTATGAAATACCATCTGCATGAAATTCTCTGCTGCCTCCCCATCACACGTAACACTATTCAATCTACAGTACACTTTTGTATTGACTAGTTTGAAGCCAACAGTGTAATATGTTTGTGTGAGTACAAGTTCAGTGTACAAGAAACAATAAGAAAACCATGTTTTATATCATGCAACTAAGCATTCACTATATGTTGTTGGTTATGGGGCTTGCACTCAGGGCCTGGGTACTGCCCCTGAGCTTTTTTGCTCAAGGCTACCACTCATCACTTTTTCTGAGTAGTTTATTGAAAATAAAAGTCTCACAGACTTTCTTGTCTGGGCTAGCTTTGAACTGTGATCCTCAGATCTTAGCCTCCCCAGTACCCAGAATTACAGGCATGAGTCACCAGCACCTGGTTCTCAAATCTTAATTACATGTGTTAACTTGAAGATGTGAAACCCCACAAAAGTTCACCCCTCCC